CATACAGACCGGCCGCTCACTGGCTGAGCGAGGGGCGGGAGCAACGCCGAGGGTTGCGATCCCGTGGCCAGTCCCGGTCCGGTACGGGCGTGACACTGAGGGTTGCGATCCGTTGCCAGTCACGAAAAAAAAAAAAAGACAAAAAGGAAAAAAAAAAAAAAGGTAAAATTAAATTAAATCAAATTTAATTTAAAAATAAAATAAATAAAATAAAATCGTGACCACCAGAATTAAAGTCTTAAAGTAGAACTACTAACAGCATTTGTTTTGAGAGGGTAAGAGAACTTTTACCTTTCATTTTATATTCTTCTGGATTATTTGAATTTTTTTCTTTACCAAGTGATACTTATAATTATAATTTTTTTTTTTTTAAAAGATGACCGGTAAGGGGATCTCAACCCTTGACTTGGTGTTTTCAGCACCATGCTCACCCAGTGAGCTAACTGGCCATCCCTATATGGGATCCGAACCCGTGGCCTTGGTGTTATCAGCACCACACTCTCCCGAGTGAGCCACGGGCCGGCCCAGTGATTCTTATAATTTTTAAAAAATAGTTTAACAAAGGAGCTGGCCAGTTAGCTCAATTGGTTAGAGTGTGGTGCTGATAATACCAAGGTCAAGGGTTCAGATCCCCAGAGTTTAATAAAAAACAACTATGGTATATTCATACAATCACACTCTATATAGCAGTTAAAAAAATGAGGTGGGGGGCTGGCCCGGTGGCACACTCGGTAGAGTGCGGCGCTTGGCAGCGCGGTGGCGCTCCCGCCGAGGGTTCGGATCCCATATAGAGACCAGTCTGCTCACTGGTTGAGCGTGGTGCGGGCACGACACCGAGGGTTGCGATCCCGTTACCGGTCACGAAAAAAGACAAAAAGGAAAAAAAAAATGAGGTGGGGCTAGAGATACTAAGATATGGATTTGTACGTGATTACAATGTATTTGTAAGTGAAAAAAGCAAATTGTAAGTAAGGAAAATATGTGTGTTTATACATATCTCTGTGTTTTGTGTCTACCTCTACATGTTCGTATATATCTGGGTGTATTTGCACATATATGTGTTTATAAATACATTAAATATTTATTTATATATGCACAGAACACAGAAGGTTCACACCAAAATATTTACAACGCTTGGCTTCCTCTATGGAGTGGAAATAGGAAGACAAAAGACATGACAGGGTGGAAAAGGGAGAATTTTTATTTTACATATCTTTTTTTTACTCTACATATCTATCTATTTTTGAGAAAAGAAACCATCAAATTCTTAGCTTAAAAGTTACTAGCTTGTTTTACTAGGATTATATTATCAGAAGTTTGATATATAAGCTTACCTTGAAGGGTTCCAAGAAATACAAGTACAGCTTAGCTTACATGAGATCTCATGCTGCAGAGACCACTGGCTGAGATTCATAACATCTGGTGCCTCATATATTCTTACTATACCATCTGCTGAACAGGTTGCTAATATAAGACCCATATGCTTGGGAGCAAATTTCACATCAGTAACAGAAGTTCTGCTATCCACTAGAGTTGTCCTTTTAACCTGAAAAAAAAAATGTTAACAATCACATCACATACAAAAACAAAGCATGGTAGAGTGAAAGAGCACAGGCTCTAGAACCACACAGAAACTCCTCTGCCAGTTACTGGTACATAATCCTGAATAAATTATTTAAAATCTGTCTAGGCCTCAATTTCCTACAAAGCACATGGCAGAATACTGCACACAGCTGGCAACTGCTAACAAACTAGTGAGCTATAATTAACTACTCCTTTAAAGCAGAAGAAAGTCTACCTGAGAAAGCCTAAACTTTATTATGTAAGTAATCTCTCAAGTAGACTGGTCACAAAACCAGAAAATGTTAGAATTTTCATTTTGGTAGTTTTGTCACACAAAGCACACTGCAAGCAGTAAGTTAAACTTATTTAAATCCTTTAACAGCAAATGGAAGGCATGCAACTTCTTTTAAGCATAAAATGTTAACTAATCCTACTTAGACCACCACGATTGACCTTTAAGTGAAGGTGTTTAATAGTGAATGGTAGGAAGCTGGCATTGTGATGATCATAGAAGTCCAGCATCACATTTAAAAGCTATTTTCTGGTACGCAGATAGGACGATATTTGACTGAAAATGTCAATAAAATTTAAAAATCAATAGTTTACTATCTGTGGTTACCAAAATACTTCTCAAGGAGTTTCAATATTAAAAGACCAATATCACATAAACATCAAATATCTTAGCAAACTTTTTTTCTACAAACACCACTGAATAAGTAATATCAACACAAATGTTGAAAAAATAAATGTATTAACGTAACTAACTGATTTAACTAATACAATAAATATCTTAAAATTAGAAGAAAAACTCTTTATACGCCACCACTCCTAAACCCACCCTATAGTATGCTAAACTGATACACCTCAGACTGATGCTAGAAAAATTCCTTCTAATCTATACATTTCCCTTCTGTCCTTAAGCAGCTGTTTGCCTTAGGGAGGCCCCAGTGCAAAGGAAATTAGACCAACTCCTCCCCCTGTAAGAAAAGAGTTGTAAAATAGTATGAATAGCATTCAAGCTAGAAAGCTACAGTAATTAAAATAGTGTGGTATTGGCATAAGGAAACCAATAGAATAGGATAGTCTAGAAATAAATCCTCCATGTATGGTCAATTAATTTTCAACAAGGGTGCCAAGACTATTCAATGGGGGAAGGACAGTCGTTTCAATAAATGGTGCTGAGAAAGCTGGATATGCACGTGCAAATGAATGAATTTGGACCTTCACCTAACACCATATACAAAAATTAACTCAAAATGGATCAAAAACCTAAACTAAGAACTAAAACTATAAAACTCTTGAAGAAAACCTTAGGGAAAGTCTTCATGACATTAAATTTGACAATGATTTCTTGGAAAAGATCCCAAAAGCACAGGAAACGGAAGAAAAAATAAATAAACTGGACTTCATCAAAACTTAAAAATTTTGTGCATCAAAGGGCACTACAGGGCTGGCCAGTTAGCTCAGCTGGTTACAGTATGGTGTTGATAACACCAAGGTCCAAGGTTTGATCCCTGTACTGGCCAGCTGCCGGAAACAAAAACAAACAAAAGCACACTATCAAGAGAGTAAAAAGACAACCCACAATCTAAGAGAAAATATTTGCAAACCATGTATCTGATAAGGGATCAATATCCAGAATATATAAAGAACTCCTACAACTCAACAACAAATAACAACTCAATAAAAAAAATGGGCAAAGGACTTGAATGAACATTTCCTCAAGGAAGACAAGCAATTGGCCAATAGCCCCACGAAAAGATACTCAACTTTGTTAATCATTAGGGAAATGCAAATCAAAACCACAATGAGATGCCACTTCATACCCTCTAGGACGGCTATAACAAAAAAACCAGAAAATATCATGTGTTGACAAAAATGTGGAAAAATTGGAACCCTTCTGTATTGTTGGTGGGAATGTAAAATGGTACAGCCTCTGTGGAAAACAGTTTGACAGTACCTCAAAAAGTTAAACATGAAACCACCATATTAGCCAGCAATTCCACTCCTAGGTATATATCCAAAAGAACTGAAAGTAGGGTTTCAAACAGGTATCTGTACACCAGTGCTTATAATAGTGTTCCTAACAATAGTCAAAAAGTGGAAACAACCCAAATGGCCATCTACAAATGAACAGATAAGCAAAGTGTGGTATACAACATACACACAATGAAGTATTATTTAGCCATAAAAAGGAATGAACTCGGGCCGGCCCGTGGCTCACTTGGGAGAGTGCAGTGCTGATAACACCAAGGCCACGGGTTCGGATCCCTATATAGTGCTGGCCGATTGGCTCACTTGGGAGAGCGTGGTGATGACAACACCAAGGCAAGGGTCAAGATCCCCTTACCGGTCATCTTAAAAAAAAAAAAAAAGGAATGAACTTGATGTATGCTTGATACATGAACATGATATATGAACATGGATGGACCTTGAAAATATTTTGCTTAGTGAAATAAGTCAGCCACAAAAGGACAATTACTATATGATTCCACTTAATACAAATACTTAGAATAGACAAATTAATAGACAAAGTACAGTAGAGGTTACCAGGGGTTATGGGGAGGGGGAAAAGGGAGGTATTATTTAATGTTACAGAGTTTATGTTCGGGATGATGAGGACTTCTGGGTATATATAACAGTGATGGGTACACAGCATTGTGAATGTAATTCATGCCACTGAACTGCACCACTTACAAATAGTTAAAATAGGGGTCTGCCGGTTAGCTCAGCTGGTTAGAGCACAGTGTTATAACACCAGGGTCAATGGTTTTTATCCCCAGTACCAGCCTGACGCCAAAATAAATAAATAGATAAAATGATGAATATTATATTAGATATATTTACAGCAATAAAAAAAATGCATCAGAAAAAAGTGTCAATAGCATGCAAGCATTAGTGGGGAAGTGGGAGGAAAAGGGGGAAGAAGAAAACATTGTATATGTCTTTTTTGTGTATTCCGGAAGAACACACAAAAAGCTGCAGTAGCGGCTGCCTCTAGGGAGAGACCTAGGTGGTGAGGGAAGGGGAGGATGTTCTCACTGTGTACACCATTTTGTACCTTTTGGATTTTATACCATGTGTATGATTATTACAAAAAACTAATTACAGAGGGAAAGAACAAGCATACGGATGATAAAATCTTAAAATGAAAACACTGGAAAGGTCTTAAAGATCACCTAGCTTGGTTCTCTCACTCACAGACGAGGAACTTGAGCAGCACACAACATGTGTTCTTGCCCAAACTCAAACATGCAATGAGGGCAGAGCTAGAGCTTAAAGTAGGCACAGATAAAGGAGAGTGCATTTTGTAAGATAGAAAAAGTAACCACAAAACAGAGCAAGTTTTTAAAGGATTTGAGAGGGTACTCTAAAACCATATCCTTATGATCATATACACCAACATCAAGGGTTCAGATCCCTGTACAGCCAGCCACCAAAAACAAACCAAAAAAAAAAAACAAGACAAAAAGAAAAAGACAAAAAAGTAAAAAAATAGTAATAAATAAATCATACATTAATACCATATAAAACATATAGTATATAAAATCGTATACAAAGTAAATACTCTGGATTCATCATGAAAGTTACAATTAAACAATGCCATGGATGCTCCTGAGTACCACTTCAGGCCCAAGACAAAACTAAAAAACAAGTCTGAGGAAAACATGGAAAAATAAAAGTGGAACTGGTAAATATAGAGGGGAATGGTAACATTTTAGCAAGTCCCTGACGTATTCTTAGAAGGACTAATGCTCCTGCTGGCCTGTTAGCTATGCTGGTTAGAGCATGGTGTTATGACACTAATGTTCCCTGGCTGCTCACATCTCCTCCTCCCCACCCTCAGCATACTAACAAATGTCTCACCCAGTGACTCTGTCCTCGCAGTTTATCATTTGATTCTCCTACTATTTCTTCCCACACAGCAGCTGTTCGGTCAAAAGAACAGGAAGCCAAAACCTGCCCAAATTCAGGATGGGCCCATGTCACACGCCATACAGATCCACTGTGTGTCTGGGAAATTAAAAAAAAAAGAACACATATTCAATAGCCCTGTTTATTCTGGGGGGGTGGGGGGGGTGGAAACTGAATTCATTCACATTTCACACACAAAAGGTTTTACTTGAAAGAGAATACAGATATTTTTACTTCTAAAGAAGAAAGCTGATCAATTTAGTATTTAAATAAAAAGTTAAATTCCAGAATTCTTTAACCTTTCGAGGATATTCTATACTGAGGATTAGAGCCTTTCTAGAATCAAGTTCTTCTAACATTTTACTAATAAGGAAAAATCCATTCAGATAAAGTTGACTACTTCCAGGGATAACAGTTGGAGACCTGCTTCAGAGTTTAGCCTAACCAAGATTTGAAACAGATATTCTATGAGTCCACAATTTTTCTTAACTTGCAAATTCTTTCTACAGGAAACATCCACCTAACAAAATAAATAAAATCAGATTATTCCAAATTATTTGCTTCAAAGTCCATAAAGAAAGAAAGTAGATTAGTGGTTACCAGCGGCTGGGAAAGGGGAGAATGGGAAGTGACTGCTAAAGGGGTTTCCTTTTGGGGTGATGAAAATGTTCTGAAATTAGATAATAGTGATGTTTGCACAACTTTGTGAATAACTTAAAATCACTAAACTGTATATTTTAAATGGTTGAACATAATGGTATGTAAATTATAGCTTAATTTTAAAAAGGACTCTTCTATTTAAAAAAATTATCTGCTTCAAAAGCCTAACAGTATACAGAAACTACAGCAGCAAAATGCTTAGAAGATCCTAACCAATGGCTCTTAGACAATGGACTATTTGAGGAAAAGAGGCATTCAGTGAGCAAATACAGAGAAGCCCAAACACTTATATCCTGAGAAAATAATGTAAAACTAAGTATCTCATTATCTTTATATACGAAAAATGTCAATTACTATTCTACAACCTCTTCATGTTGACCACATCAAAAAAAAAGGATGAAAAGGTCTGAAAGCATTTCAACATCAAAAGAATTTGCTAGGTGCTTCCCAGTAAAACAAAAGAATTTCCTAGGTGCTTCCCAGTAAAAATACTGTCTGAAAATAAACATGAGTTCACCAATTACATTTACAAATGTGTTTCACACTTCTGTATATCTAACATTTTTTACACGCAACAACATAAGAACACTTTGTTAACCTGATAACCTCTCCATGGTAACAATGTCACCAACCATAGGTAAACTATGTACCCTTATTTTGTATCCTTTGTTTTGTCCAGTTTTTTGGGTTCTACCTTAATTCTTATACAGGACTATTAAGTAAAAAAGGCAGTAAGGCTGAGAGGTTTTACAAACTGTTAGATTCCCAGTAAAACAGAATCTAACTAAAGAATAAGATTTGCACAAAAATGTTCATCAATGGTATTTTCAGTTAAGCAAAATGGTATATTTATTGGATGCTTATAAAGAGACTTTAAAGACATAGGAAAGTACTTAGGAAATATGTTGTTAGGCTAAAAAGCAAGAAATAAGGGTTTCCCTTCAGAATGATAAAAATGTTTTTGAACTAGAAAGAGGTGGTAGTTACACAATATTGTGAATGGAGTAAATGCCACTTAATTGCTTACTTTAAAATAACTGATTTTATGATATGTGAATCTCACCCCAATTAAAAAAGGTGGGAGGGGGGGCCAAAAAATTTGGATAGACCCTTCACCAAAGAAGATATATGAATGGTGGCAAATAATCATGTGAAAAGACAATCAAGAAGATATATGAATGGTGGCAAATAGGCATGTGAAAAGATAATCAACATCATTAGTCATTAAGGAAACACATAAAAATCCAATGAGACACCACCTCACACCCACTAAAATGGCTATAACAAAGACATTAGATAATATCAAGAGCAGATGAGGATACAGAGAAACCGGAACCCTTATAAACAGCTGGTGGGAATGGAAAACGGTACAGCCACTTTGGAAAAGAGTTTGGCAGTTTCTTAGAAAGTTAAACATACGCAATCTAGAAATTCCACTCCTGGTATCTATCCAAGAAAAATGAAAACATATGGAGAAACAAAATGTGACATATCCATACCATGTACTACTCAGCAGTAAAGGAACAAACTACAGACATGGAATACGACATGGATAAACCTTAAAAATATGCTAAGGGAAAGCAGCCAGACACAAAAGACTACATATTATAGGATTCCATTTACATAAAACTTCTAGAAAAGATTAAAAGCTATAAAAAAATCGATCAGTGGTTGCCTGTGGCTTGAGAATAGGAAGGGAGATCAAATACAAATGGGCACAAGGAAAATTTCTGAGTTGATGGAAGTGTTCTAAAACTGGATTGTGGTGATGTCTGTAGAACTGCATGTTTAAAAATGTAAATTAAAATTTATGACTTTAAGGTATGAAAAATTCTGAGCAAAGGTTTTTGTTTTTTTTTTAAAAAAAGCAAGAAATAAAACTATTAAAAATATATAAAGGAAAAGGTGAGAAAGAAATAAGCAGAATATGATGAAATCCTAGAATAGCCATGTTAGAGTGCTGTGAAATTATAGACATTCTTACTCCCAGATTCCCTGAAATGTATTTGTTACTTTAATAGTGAAAAAATGTAAAATATCTTTCCATGAAAAGAACTATAAATTGTATAATCTTCTCAAAGCTGAACAGCAAGTCACTGACACTACCAAATACCTATAGTAAACATTTCAATTTTTTTAAAAAATCACTGTAAGGGCCGACCTGTGGCTCACTCGGGAGAGTGCGGCGCTGGGAGCACAGTGGCACTGAGAGTGCCGAGGCTGCGGGTTCGGATCCTATATAGGGATGGCCAGTGCGCTCATTGGCTGAGCGCGGTGAGGACGACACCACACCAAGGGTTGCGATCCCCTTCCCGGTCACAAAAAAAAAAAAAAAAAAAAAATCACTGTAAAAATAAATACTAACCTTCCAGCTAGCAGTACAATGCCAATCTCCACTTTCACTTTTATCCCAGACCTATGAGAAAATAAAAGGCAGATATTTTATACAAACAATTTCTACAAATTGATACAAAAAACCATAAGATTAAATCAATGTACAGGCAAAGAGGTGAACATAAAATTCACAAAAGAATACGACCAGTACATAACATTCATTCACTCAACCAAATATTTATTGAGAACCTTGAATGTGTCAGTCACTGGGCCAAGCACCGAGGGATCCAGGAATCCAAGTTCTAACAGTTAATAGAGACAATTACAATTACAGTCTTATTATTTGCAGTAGTTATGTTCTATAAAGCTGCCTTGACCACTGAAACATTGCTCCTAGAGGAAATACAGGGTTAGGTTCCTGTGAGCCTCTGGTCTGACATTTTCATCAATCAATACATAATTTGTCTTACATGAGTTTCTGTTTAAAGATACCTTGTTTAATATATATTGGTGATTCATCAACAATGAACTCACAACCAACAGTGCTAGAATTCATGCCTGAAGGAAGATTCTCTAACACACCTAGTTTCTCCTAAGGCACATCACAGCCTTTTTGAGTTTAAGAACACTAGACCACACCACAACCCTACAGCACTAAACTTGGAGGGCATTTTAAACAGTGAAATCACCAAGAAAGAACTAAAAATGCAAAAACCATGGCACTAAATAGACTGTAAAAAGAACACTTGTTTACAGCATGAGCCAAAACAAGAAGACAGACTGTCACCTTGCTCCACCTCAGCTAGGAACATGTGTCCTGAGACTCAAACTTTTCTTCATTCAACATATTGTAGTGAATGACTGCAAAAGCACCATCGGTACTGACTCTGGGGTCACAAAAAAATTTCAGAAGTAGGCAAATTCACAAATACAGAATCCACAAATAACAAGCATCAACTGTATATGTAACTAATGTTAAAGCAAAATATTGAACCTTACTATCCACAAAAAATACAGATTACAATAACAAGGTGCCAATTTAACCTGCTAAAAAATGTAATGCTAACGCCCAACATGCACAATTATGCTATCAAATCAGTGTTCTCACTGGCAGTATAAAATGGTACAACCTACATAAAAGCAATTTGCCAATTCTTGTCAAAAGCTTTTAAAATGTTCATTAATTTCTCTTCTAGAATTAGCATAAGGAAATCACTCAAAATGTATAAAATGCTAAATTAATGAAGATTTTCAATGCAACACTATTTCTGACAGACACAATCTACAAACTGAAAGATCAGCTAAAAGATCCAATACTAAGTGGATAATGAAAAAAATGTATAGCCTGTTAACAGACATTAACTAAGCCATTAGGAATGGTAATTATTAAGACAGTGCAGCAGTACTGGAATTAATACAATAAAATTTTGCATGCCAAGGCTGCAAATTTACACATATATACACTACCATAACAATTATTTAAAACATTAAAATAAAATCAATAAACATTAACAATGAGTGTTAAGACAGCAATGAACGTGTAATTTTTTCTTTGTAAATAAAAAGAATATTACTTGCACAAATAAATATATACATATATGTAAATATGTGTGTGTGCACATATGAGTGTGAACAAACACTGGCTCTTCAGTAAGAAGGGGTTGACCTTGTGCGGCGTAAGACCTGCGACCGGCAGGCGACGAGCCCACGGCAGGCGGGCAGCAGGAGAGCCCGAGAGCCCTGGCGCGCCGGCCCCAGGCGCCCCCGGACCATCGGCTCCCAGGCCCCCCAGCACCCGGCGGCGGACGCGCACGTGCCAGACCGTCTGCCCTTCGCAGGCGCACGGGAGCGCGGCCCCGCGGACAGCCGGGACCCCACAATGCGCTGGCCGGGAGGGCGGCGTAGGCCGGCTGGGGTCTGCCCGCTGTCCCCCCGGGTTCCAGGCCTCCTTTCCGGAAGCGTTCCGCGGAATGCGGGCAAGTCCCAGTCACCCGCACCGCCTCCCACGCCCCTCCTTCTACGCTCGGCCCGCCCGAAGGCGCCAGACGCACCTTGACGCTCTGGTCGCTGGAGCAGGTCGCCATCCGCCGGCCGTGGAAGTCGAAA